TCTGGCCAAATAATTGTCTAAATAACATACACTATTCTGAGATGTCTAAAGCCTTGAGAAGATTTCAACACTCAGAGAGAAAAGACTAAAATATATTAACATTGCAGATTCCCTAATAATAAAAACCATCAGATAATTCTATAGCAAATCCCATGGTCAACAAATGCCACCCCTGTACCCAGAGCTTCCCAGCAGCTTGTTAGTATCCCATTCTTCAACAGAAGCAAAGAACCAAAACTCACCAGACATCTGAGGTGATTCTAGCTTTCTAATATGAGAGAGAACAAAGCAAAAAAAGAAAAAGAAGTTAGAATAATCCATGAAAAGAAAGAATTTAAAAATCTTCCAAAAAGTTGCTGTCAATATCCTGAAGGAGAAAAGAAGATACTGCATGCATGAAGTAAGAACAGGTTTCAATGGAGAAAAGAAAGAGCTCTAGAGAATCAAATTTTCATAGCAGGAATGAAAATCCAATAGAAACATAAAAGATCTCAAGAAAGATCTCAATAAATTATGAAATTTAATTTATTTAAAGCTACCTGATGAAGTTCTCCCAAAGTGGCAAACTAATTCAAGATGAAGACACTAAATTCTACCTCTGAAACTAAAAGAAGAGGAAGGAGGAGAAGGGGGAGAAGGAGGGGACAAGGAGGATGACAAGAGGAGGAGAAGGCTGAGAGGAGGAGAAGAAAGGAACCAGATCAAACCATGGACTCCTCAGGGCTAAGCAAGCTGATTAGAGCGCACACCCAGAGCATACTATAGTCTGGTTCTGCTTCTAGAAGGGCATATAGACCAGGGAGGCCCAGCCTTTAGTGTGCACAGGAGTTTCCTGGACTTTTGAAGATCTAGACAGTCTGGAGTAGAGTGTGAGATTCTGATCTTATAACAAGCTTGGTGTTGATGCTGCCAATCCTCAGGTCATCTTCAGCTCACACATTGAAGTAGCAAGCACATAAAACATGATTCCCACATGGCTGTGGGAATCAGCCTCTCCTATAGGGCTTATTGAGTGATTCCTGGGCCCATGCCCTGCATTCTAAGGTGGTAGGCCTGGTTAGAGGCCTGAGTATTTTGTAACAAAACCCATAAGCAATCCTGGGGCTCTGCCAGATAGGGAAGCATGAAAACCACTGATGAGAGGCCTCATCATGCGAAGGGGTCTTACATCCATATTTGGATGGTTTTTGTAGGAAGAAAAATGCAAGACATGTGGGGAGATCTATATTTTCTCTCCCATGAGGCACAGCCAAGGTGGCACACTGAGGAAGTCATTATCAGCTCAACAAAATATCTCTGTGTTAGTCAGAGGGTAGATCTTAAACGTTTGCACCACATAAAAGGAAATGATAACGATGTAACACATTGAAGGTGTTAGCTAATGCTATGATGAAATCCTTTGCAGTATAGAAATGTGTCACATCAACAGGTTGTACCCTTAAAATTACACAATGTATGTGCCAATTTTATGTCAATAAAGCTGGGGGGGGGGGAAATCTCTGAAAAGAGAGAGAGAGAGAGAGAAGGACATGGGATCTAGGAGGCTAATGCTCCTACCCTGGAGAAAGTAAAGGGATTCCCCAGGACAAGGGTTGGGGGAAGCTCCAGGGTGGCAGGTAAACCCAGATGCAAGGCAATGCCAGCCCATGCTACAATATGCCAAAGAGTCCGTTAGGAAAGGTGCCTGGCAATAAAATTTCCAGTACTGTATCAGCTCTTGATAGAAAATATACTGTGTCTCAACCAACTTAGATGGAAGTATAGTTGACATGTTCTGGAAAACCACTCAAAAAGTGGTTTTAATGATGACACAACATTGATGAAAAACATGCAGCTCTAAAATTAGAATAATAGTGAATCTACACAATTATTGTGAGGATTAAATGAGTTGATCAATGTAAAGCATTTAAAATGATGCCGGAAACATAGAATGACAAAAATACTAGCTATCACTGTTGCTGTGGTGGTGGTGGTGGTGGTGGTTGTTAGGTTATTTAACTCTGGAGTTGGGCTTCCTAGAATACTGGCTCTACCACTAGTTATTTTACTTTGAAAAATTTATGCAGGGATGCCTGGGTGGCTCAGCGGTTGAGCGCCTCCCTTTGGCCCAGGGCGTGATCCTGGAGACCCGGGATCGAGTCCCACATCAGGCTCCCTGCATGGAGCCTGCTTCTCTCTCTGCCTGTGTCTTTGCCTCTCTCTGTGTGTGTCTCTCATGAACAAATAAATAAAATCTTTAAAAAAAAAAAAAAGAAAAATTTTTGCAAACTCCTTAAGCCTCAGTGTCCTCATTTGTAAAATGTGCATCAAAAAGGTATTTATCTCATACATTAATTTTAAGAATTAAATTAGATGCAACAAGGTATGCAAAGTACCTAGCAAACTAAGTACCCCATGAATATTAGATATTGATAGTAATTATTTGTTTTTCATGGAAAATAATATTCGTAAATTGAGGAGAAAACTCTCCACCATCAAAGGACTATTTTTAAATATTTTTTTATATTGTCACAACCATGGCATTTGTATTACTTTGTATTATTTCAAAGTTTTATGAACATTTGATGATTCTACATCATCTCAGTAATTTTATTTTGCATCTGCCAAACATACCATCAAAATGATTTAAAATAAGTCCCCAAAACATTTGTGGAATATTCAGATTGTTTGTCCGTTGGTTCTCACAGAGAAATGGAGTGTACATCTTTGTGGTTTGAGATTTTGACTTCTCTTAGATTATTTCCCAACACCCTCAAGAGATAGGCAAACAGGACGCTGCTAGTCACTCACAATGTTCTTCATGACAAGGATCCTGGCTCCACAGCCACAGTAACACTGGCAAGTATTTCATTTGCCTCCACATTTTTGGCTTCAAGTATTAAAATCAAAATGAAATACTAATTGTATAGTAAACGATGGTTTTGAATATGGGTATTTTTCAAAGTTGCTCTAGGAACTTAAAAGATTGGTTCAGGATTCTATTTATTGTTACTAAATTCCCTCCCCTACTCTTCATTTTGTAACTTATCCCTCATGCTTTAAAGTTTTCAGACTATTTATGTACATATGTGAGAGGTTACAATTTTTTTCTTTCTAATTATTTTTAAGTAATATTAATCTTATCATTTTGCTAAGTAATTTAGTCTCCCAAATCTAAGGATTTGGATTGAGAATGATTTCTGTCAGTTATAATATTCTTTCTTAGGTTCTTGTAAATTATAAGCCCTCTAGGTAAAAAAAGAGCAGGTCTTTTGCAAAGATGCTGGTTTTTCCCTCTTGGGCTTTAGAGTCAAATCCTAGCAATGCTCATTAGCAGCTGTATGACTGTATTAGAGATACCAGTCCTTGCCTTCCTGGTAACCTTCCAAGAGTTTGTGGTCATTTGTAATAATAGCAACAGAAAATCAATACACTCTCTGTTGTAACATGGCCATACGAGGACTATGGGTAGTCCTATCACCCTACCCTCCTTGACCACAACCTGAAAAGGTTCTTCATTTTAAAAACCAATGTACTTAGATTGGGTCCACCTGGATAATCCAGGATAATCACCTTATTTCAAGATCTTTAAGGAAAATAAAAATAATAATTTAAAAAGATATAAGCACCTCTATATTTATTGTAGCATTATTTACAATAGTGAAGATACCGAAGCAACCTAAGTGTCCATTGACAGGTGAATGAATAAAAAAGATGTGGTATATATATATGCACTGTGTATGTACGTATATAAAAAAGAATGCTATATTGTCATTCATCACAACATAGATGGACCTACAGGGTATTCATGCTAATAAAATAAGTGAGGCAGAAAAAGACAAATATCACATGATTTCACTTATATGTGGAATGTAATAAACAAAACAAAAGAGCAAAGAAGCAAACAAAAGACCAGAAACAGATTCACAAACAGAACGAACTGGTGGATGCCAGAGCAAGTATAGGGGGGCGGGTAGGAGAATGATCAAAATAGATGAAGGGAATTAAGAGGCACAAGCTTTCAGTTATAAAATAAGTGGCAGGGATGAAAAAATACAGTGTAGGGAATATAATAAAAAATTGTAATAATGTTGTCTGGTAACTACACATCATGGCAAGCATCATGTAATGTAAATGTACATCTGAAAACTAATACAACATTGTATGTCAACTATACTTCAATAATAAAAAATAAAAAATAAAATAATTTTGAAAGCTCTTTTGCATAATCAAAAGAGCATAATAAAGCTCTTTTGTTAATCCTTGAACAACACAGGCTTGAACCGCACGGGCAGATTTTTTTCAATAAATACAGTTGGGTAGTATAAACTTATTTTCCTTATGATTTTCTTTCCTTTTTTTCTTTTTAGATTTTTCTCTTATGATTTTCTTAATAATATTTTATTTTCTCTGCCTTACTTTATTGTAAGAATACAGTATGTGTTATCAACTGCTTATGTTATCGGTAAGGCTTCTTCTGGTCAACAGTCGACTATTATTTGTTAAGTTTTGGGAGAGTCAAAGGTCATATGCAATTTTCAACTGTGCACTGGAAGAGGGGTATCAGTGCCCCTAATTCCTGAATTATTCAAGGGTCAACTATATTCATAGGTTCCAGGGCTTAGGAAGGAACATTCCTGAACCCTATTTATCCTGGCTACACAAGGAGGGATCTGTGACCTGGCCTGAAATAATCATATCCTCTCTCTGGAAAATCTGAACTTAGAAGACAGTGCTTGGATTGCAACATTATGTAGAGTTGGGCTTCATTACAAAGAGAAAGGGACAAAGAGGGACAAAGAGAGAGAGAGAAGCAGAGGGAGTGATAACCCTGTGACTCCTTAGAAATTGATAGGATTACCTTTGAATTGGGGAATATGAATAATAGTGAAAGGGAATATAAGGGAAGGGAGAAGAAATGTGTGGGAAATATCAGAAAGGTGTCGCAGCCGGCGCGAGAAGGTCCGGATTCAGGAACCGAGGGCAAGGGGATGAGAAATAAACAAGAAACTAAAAGTTCATGGGATAGGAGGTTCCATGCGGCTGATGGCCACAATGGACAAGCTTTATTTTCACATGTATAGTTTATATAGCCTCTATAAGCAGGTGACCTATTTCTCTAAGGAGAAATACATATCGTGGACGAACATACATTGTCTTTAAAACTAACAATAGCTAGAACACCGCAAATTCCTGTCACTCGTTCTTAAGCAGTAGAGCATGAATGCCACATTTAGAATAAACAATGAGGTTTGTTCATTAAGTAATGACTACCAAGGCAGTCATATGTCAAGCCACTTCCTTGCTCACTTTATGGGAACTTATCCCAATAATATTTTAAAGGAGAAGCAAATATGTACTTTTAGTTCGATAAGGGGGAAGAGCTAGGTGCAGTCCCAGCGGGTTGGCCAGGCATGACAAGGAGCCTTTGTTCAACCCGGAACCCTGCTTCGCACCGCAGGACTGCGGGTTGGCCAGGGACGACAAGGAGCTTTGGCTCAACTTGGAACCCTGCCTCACACCGCGGGACCGCTCCCGACATTTCCCCCTATATTTTTCAAATGCAAAAAGTGAAGTTGTGCCTTAGAGGAGTTTAATTGATTATTGAGTTTTTTGCAAAAGCAGGCAAACATTACATACATCAGAATTAACCCGATTATTAATGCCAAAAATATCCAAAAGGAATGTTTCAGTGAATTGAAGGGATTAAAACCATTTAGCTGATTTAAGATCTCACCGGCTAAATCGCTGGGATCTTCATAATGTAACATACTTTGGCTAATGGCGTCTATTTCTTGTTGTAATTTTAAGAGATCTAGACTAATATTAGCATGATTCCAAACCCCTTGTAAATGCATACGTACATTTTCCCATGACCCATTAAAAGGCAGTGGGGTAACACAAATATGTTTATAAGCGTCATGGCAAGTCAATTGGGTTATAGTTTTTAGTACAACAAATTGATCACCAAGATATAAAACGGCTTCTTTTAAAGCTTCAATCTGCGCTTCAATTTTTTCATCAATTCTTTTTTGAGCATCAAGAGCAATAGTTACATTTCTAGCAAGTTCATTTACATGTTCAGCAGTCTGAGCATTTTCATGCAAAGATACAACAGATGCAGTAGCAGAGGCAATAAGAGCAATAGTAGCCACTATCCCTGCAATTAAAAGTCCAAGAAATCTTCGAGTTCTTCTTAGCTTCTTCACCAATTTTTGAGCTAACTGCATACCAAAGTTCGCGTACCAAGGTCCTCTCACGTCAACAGGGATCATCCAATATGGAGGTTGTTGCACCAGGAATAATTTTGTGTTGAAATCAATCTTCTTATCAAACTTGTGGCTTGCGAGGTTAATTTCCTCATTTGCCTCCATGATGGCAGATTCGTCTTACGAGTCCTCTTCCTCCGAGGAGGGCATAAGTTCAGCTGACTCATCTTCCTTCTCAGTTTTGATATCTCTAACAAATTTGGCTGGAACCCAGCGCGGCGCTTCTTCATCCTGTGGGAAGATACATGCATATCCTCGACCGTGTCTAAGCAAGGGGTCAGGGCCTTTCCACTGTCCTGTCATAGGATCCTTCCACTTTGCCATAAGGGGTGGATCAGTATTTTTTCCCCAATGTTTTTCTGATGGTGTATATCCATCATCATGCACAATCAAAAAATTTAAAATGAATATTGCTAAGTCTAGGTGCATGTGGGGGGAATATTTCATTTTTCCTGCCATAATCTCCCCCTTTTTTAGTTTTTATAAGGTATTTTTAAGTGTAAGATGAGCTCTTTCAATAATAATAGCTTGACCTGTAGAGTTGTAAGGGATGCCTGTGGTATGCTGGATGTGAAATGTTTCACAAAAGTTTTAAAAGCTTGGGATATATAAGCACTCCCATTATCAGTCTTTAATCGTTTAGGCATTCCCATGTAAGCAAAAGCGTGAAAAAGATGATTTTGAACATCAGTAAAACTTTCACCAGAATGAGCGGAAGCTACGATCATACCAGAATAGGTATCAATAGAAACATGCACAAATTGTAATTTATTAAAAGATGAATAATGTGTTACGTCCATTTGCCAGAGATCATTGGGCAAAAGGCCTCGCGGATTAATGGCAAAAGAAGGGGTGTTAACATATTGGGGACATAGGGAGCAATTTTTAATAATTTGCCTTGCTTGTTCTCTAGTTATAGGAAATTGCTTTCGTAGGGATTGAGCGTTTTGGTGGAAAAGAGAGTGACTTTTCATTGCCATACTGACAGAATCCTTATTAGCAATGACAGAATATAAATGAGTATATCTGTCAGCCAAATCATTTCCTGAGGATAAAGGCCCAGGTAAACCAGAATGTGCTCTAATATGAGAAACAAATATAGGTGAAACTCTTTTTAAGAGCAGCTGCTGTATTTTATGAAAAAGGCACGAAAGTTCCTCATCATTAGAGTTTATGAAAGAATCAGCAAGGATGGGTAATATCCTAGCGATATATTGACTATCTGAATAGAGATTAAAGGGTTCTTGATAGATTTCAAGAGTTTTCATGACAGCATAAAGTTCAGCCCTCTGGACAGATTTTGTCTTATAGGATAATTGAATGATATTTTTATGTTGTTTATGCAGATAGACAATGGCAATGTGCCCGTCTTTGCTGGCGTCCGAAAATATGATGGGAGTGTCTAATCGGTTGACTCGAAATTGGAGAGACAAATATAGTAGGAATGATGGAGAGTCCCTGAAGGAGTTTGTCGTTGGGAAGATGGAAAAGAAATTGACCAGGAAAATTTGCCATAGATGTTTGCCATTCCAAGGAGGTTTGATATGCATCCTCTACCATTGAGGCGGTTAAAAGAGGACATATAATATTATGAGGCTCATGTCCAAATAACTGGATGCATCTCTTCCGTCCCCTAGCAATTAATAAAGATATAAGGGAAATCGTTGGGTTGATGACATGCAAAACATGCATAGCTAAATGTAGCCATTCCAAAGGCCATGGGTTTGCCACAACACTGCCATAGGGAGAGCATCAGGTTTTAAGATTATTAAGTTAACATTCTCTGTCAGATCTCTTTGTTGAAGCTGTGTAGAGGAAATTTTATTTGCTACTAAAGCCAAGGCATCCTCTGCTTCTGGAGTAAGCTGTCCCAAAGATGAAGGGGAGGAGTCCCCTTTTAAAATAGAAAAAAGGGGCTGTAACTGGGAAGTGGTGAGAGACAGCGAAGGGCGGAGCCAATTTATATCACCTAATAATTTTTGGAAGTCATTTAAAGTTTTTGATTGCGAGGTTCTAACTGCGATTTTCTGTGGCCTAATACTCTGTTTACTAATAAGATATCCTAAATACTCAAAGGGAGCTTCTCTCTGTACCTTCTCAGGAGCTATTTGAAGTCCAGCAGAGCTAAGACATTGGGAAAGAACCCGAAAGGCGTTAGCCAGGTGTTCACTGGTCTCTGCAGCCAGTAATAGGTCATCCATATAATGAATACAATATACCTCAGGGAATTGTTTCCTGAAAGGGATTATAGCTCTTTTTACATATTCTTGACACAAGGTGGGACTGTTAACCATTCCCTGAGGTAAAACAGTCCATTCATATCGATAGTAGGGTTCTTGTAAATTTGTAGAAGGCAAAGAAAATGCAAAATGTTCCCCGTCACCAGGGGCTAAAGATATGGTAAAGAAGCAATCCTTTAGGTCTAGAACCAACATCTGAAAATTTAGCGGAATGGCAGAGGGAGAAGGGAGGCCAGGTTGTAGGGTCCCCATGGGAAGTATTACCCGGTTGACTGCTCTTAGGTCTTGAAAAAGCCACCATTTTCCTGTTTTCTTTTTTATGACAAAAATAGGGGTGTTCCATGGGCTAGTAGAAGGTTTTAAATGGCCGAGGTTTAATTGTTCTTGTATCAAGATCTCAGCAGCCTCTCTTTTTTCTTTCACTAAGGGCCATTGATCTACCCAAACAGGAGTGGAAGTTTTCCACTTGAGAGGCGATGCATGGGGAGGATTCAATGGGCCTGGGGAAAACCCAAACCTTGTCGGGCTGGATTAGGAATGGGGGCTATAAAGGCCCTTGCAAATTTTCCCCTTGCAAATTTTTACCTAAACCTTTTCCAGGCTGATATCCATGCTGTATCAATTGATTAAAAGACCAATCATTGGAAAGGGAGAGATTCATTTGAGACAAAACATCTCTGCCCCATAAATTTAATTCTATATCTAATATAAAGGGCTGAAACACTCCTTGTAAATCATTCATCAAATCTCTCCATGTAAGTAAATCAGAACTTTGTTCAGGGGAGGAGGCAAAGCCTACCCCTCGAATAGGTACATCAACCGTCTTCTTGGGCCAAGTTTTAGGCCAATTATGATTAGATATAACTGAAACATTTGCCCCAGTGTCCAAAAGGCCCGGAAAAACCTTTCCGTTTGTCTCCAGGTTAAAAAGAGGTTTATCAGGAGAAATCATTTTGGTCCAATATATGTTGGTGGATCCGAAACCTTTATCTCCTCGCTCCCTAGTAAGCGCTTGATTAGAGGTTTTTATTATTGGGAGCAATATTAGTTGATCAATAGGCATCCCAGGTTCCAGAGAGAGAGTACCAGTCTTCAGGGATGCCATAATATTAATTTCACCCGTATAGTCAGGGTCAATAACACCTGGATAAACAATTAAACCTTTCATGGTGGAACTAGAACGCCCAAGGAGTAATCCAAAAGTTTCCTTAGGCAGTGGCCTCCATATGCCTGTAGGAATTTTTCTAGGTAATTGGCCTCCCTCCAAATAGTGAGTGTGAACAGGAACTAAATCTAATCCTGCGCTGGTGGGGGTACCGCGGTATAATCTGTCAATTCGAGGGAGGTCGCTGGTGTTGGAGATGGGAGTGATGTTTGTTGGGGAAAGAGGGCCGCTATTTGTTGGGGCTGCGGCAAGCCCCCCTTCCAGTTTCCCGAAAGGGGATTCCCGTCAGAATCAGTCTTTGATCTACATTCATTAGCCCAATGATATCCTCTGTGGCATCTAGGGCAAAGGTTTTGAGGTTTTTTTGTAGTTTGAGAAGTCCTTTTCTGAGGACATTGATTTTTAAAATGCTCCAATTGGCCACATAAGAAGCATTTTTGATTTATTTTCATGTTTGGGTTCTTATTTTGTTTTAGTATCTGAGCATGCAATTTTGCAGGAGGGATGCCTTTAAAAGCAGCAGCCAAGGTGACTCCTTGCAAATACGAGGGCCCTATATCTGCGCAAATCTTCAAGAGTTCCCTGGTTCTTCCAAGGTCTTATGGCTGCTTGACAGGCGGCATTAGCATTCTCATAGGCCAGTTGTTTAACTATTAAAGTGTCAGCTTCTGCATCGGTGACTATTCTACTGACTGCGGTTAACAATCTGGCCACAAAATCAGAATAATTTTCCTCGGGACCTTGCCTGATTTTTGACAGTTCCTGTGACTTTGTATTTGTGGCAGGTAGCTTCTTCCATGCTGACAAAGAACAAATATTAATTTGGGTATAAGCTACTTCAGGAAAACCCAATTGCAAGCCCACGTCATAATACGGACCAGAACCAGTTAACATGTTGTAATTAACAGGAATGTTAGTTCTCCTATTGTAGCTGGCCTGTTTTTCGGCATTTTCAGAGAATTGCATTTTCCATAACAAATTGTCCCCCAGGGAGAGGCATGCTTGTGCAATGACCCTCCAATCTCCAGGACATAACGCTTCTCGTGTCAAATTGTCTAACATAGAAAGAGTAAAAGGTGCTGTAGGGCCATACTGAGTACATGCTTATTTCAAATCCTTTAGTACTTTGAAGCTTAAGGCAGTGTATGCTCTTCGTCCCCCCTGCACAGTAACAGTAAATAACTGAAACTCAGATACATCTTCTCCCCTCTGTGAGGCTTGAAATAGAGATCTTTGTAATAGGGTAACTCCTTTTATTGGGTAAGAATCGCCTGTTTGGACAGGAAAAAGGCTTCGAGGAGCCTTCTCAGTTTGCACAGCGGAGGAGTGTAATAAAGGTGGGGGAGGAGGTTCAGCATGATTTAAAACAAAAACCTCCTCCCTTCTATCTTTAAGGTGGGGACCATCAAACGGATCCTCTTCTTCATCATCTATTCTAAGGGACAGTTTATGTAAAGGAGGAGTATGGATTTTTTGATTTTTTAAGCTCCCCTCCATCGAGGGTGGAGACTCTTTTTCACTTTTAGAGTTCAAGGAGATGATCTCAATAGAGTCTGTAGGATCCAGAACCTCCTTTATACAATTCCATGTAGTCCATATATCAGGAGGCAGTTGTTCCCTCCTTATTTTTAATTCATTTTTCAGAGTCTGTCCAACTCTCTGCCAATCCGAAAGATCCACCGAGCCCTGATCAGGAAACCAAGGGCATATTATTCTAACTGTATCAAAGAACTTATCCAAAGAGTTATGAGAAACCTTAAACCCCTTTTCCCTTAAAAGAGCCTGTAGAACTTTTAAAAAATACCCATGTTCTACAGATTGCCTTTGTCCCATGATTATTTTACTCCTATCGTTCACGGAGCCGCCGTGATCCCCTTACCTGTAACTTGAACACTTCTTCTTTCACTCTGTCTCGGGTCCCTGTTCGGGCGCCACTTGTCGCGGCCGGGCAGAGAAGGTCCAGATTCAGGAACCGAGGGCAAGGGGATGAGAAAGAAACAAGAAACTAAAAGTTCATGGGATAGGAGGTTCCATGCGGCTGATGGCCACAATGGACAAGCTTTATTTTCACATGTATAGTTTATATAGCCTCTATAAGCAGGTGACCTATTTCTCTAAGGAGAAATACATATCGTGGATGAACATACATTGTCTTTAAAACTAACAATAGCTAGAACACCGCAAATTCCTGTCACTCGTTCTTAAGCAGTAGAGCATGAATGCCACATTTAGAATAAACAATGAGGTTTGTTCATTAAGTAATGACTACCAAGGCAGTCATATGTCAAGCCACTTCCTTGCTCACTTTATGGGAACTTATCCCAATAATATTTTAAAGGAGAAGCAAATATGTACTTTTAGTTCGATAAGGGGGAAGAGCTAGGTGCAGTCCCAGCGGGTTGGCCAGGCAGACAAGGAGCCTTTGCTCAACCCGGAACCCTGCCTCGCACCGCAGGACTGCGGGTTGGCCAGGGACAACAGGGAGCTTTGGCTCAACTTGGAACCTTGCCTCACACCGCGGGACCGCTCCCGACAGAAAGGGAGACAGAGCATAAAGACTTCTAACTCTGGGAAATGAACTAGGGGTGGTGGAGGGGGAGGAGGGCAGGGGGTGGGGGTGAATGGGTGACGGGCACTGAGGGGGACACTTGACGGGATGAGCACTGGGTGTTATTCTGTATGTTGGTAAACTGAACACCAATAAAAATTAATTTATTAAAAAAATAAAAAATAAAGTGTTGTGGTGCAAAAAAAAAAAAAAGGATTACCTTTGAATATTCCAAATGTTGTTCCAGGTCTCTTATGGCCATTTTGACTTTGGAAAACTGACACCCGGGATCCCTGGGTGGCGCAGCGGTTTGGCGCCTGCCTCTGGCCCAGGGCGCGATCCTGGAGACCCGGGATCGAATCCCACGTCGGGCTCCCGGTGCATGGAGCCTGCTTCTCCCTCTGCCTATGTCTCTGCCTCTCTCTCTCTCTCTGTGACTATCATAAATAAAAAAAAAAAAAAAAAAGGAAAACTGACACCCAATAACATGTCCCCTATTCTTCTGACCTGTCCATCTAAACTTTTAGAAGGCAGGGCAAAGGTTAAGAGCAAGAAACCTGCCAGATAGTATCAAAGAAGACAGTCTTACTCTATGGAGTTTGTCCCCATGTGTTTTTGGCTGTTCCTGGGGCCATATGTTCACGGAGTGATAGAATGTCATAATTGGGTATCAGAGCTCCAAAATCACTTAGGACTTGAAAACAAGGTGACAATGGCTATAATTCCCTCAAACTCCAGGCCTCCAAGTAGGGGAGATGAGTAAAGAGGAAAATGTATAAAAGAGGATAGTAGGAGAAAAGATTTTGCTCAAGGTTCTCTATGTTGTTGATTACATCTATACCTCCCAATTCCAACTCATCTTTCTAGATGTCTTAACAAAATACCTTTCAAAAACAAAAAAAAAAACAAAACAAAAAAACAAAATACCTTTCTTTCAAGGCTTCCTTGACTCTCTAAGTAGAAGTCATTCCCTCAGTTTAGTGAACAAATATCTGAGCACTCACTCTGTGCCAGGCAGTGAGTTAGGTGTTGAGAATGCACAAATGAAAAAACAGTGGAGTCTTCCTCTTTTGGAAACCACTTTGGTACTCTATTGGCACTGACTACTTGCCACCTTATATGAGGGTTTCTCTGTCTTGTTCACCTGATGAATGCTGACCCCACAACTGTCTGCAAGCCCTTAAAGAGAAAGCATGGGAGTATATTCATTATAGATTCCTCATGGTTAGCATATGCCTGCCCTAAGGTAAATGAGTACAAAAATTCATCAAGTATTTATTAAACACTTACCTATTGCATATAAGCTACTACATACAGCTGAAAACATAAAAGGAATTTAAGGTTTCCTGACCAGAAATTTCCAGTAGGATTTGAAAGACTGATCTCTATACTAAATAAAAATAGCAACAGAAGGTAATGGGTCCCAAATGCCACAGGAAGAATGCTGGTGTTGAAGGGATGACTATGAGATGGACCTGACATATCTCCATAGTGGGGCACTTTGACCTAGGTCTCAGCATTTGAGTAGGATTTGAATGACCCAAGGGGACAGAAAAAAGAAGAAACATAATGAGCAAGGGCTGAATGAGGAATGGATTTCTGTTCTGGGGACAACACAGACAGAAGCTTTTAAAGAATATACATCCTATACTTGAGAAAATGGAGAGGTAAGGTGGTTGGGAAGGTTCAAGTCATATTTTAAAGGGCCTTGAATGCCAGACACAAGATTTGGCAATTTCTTCTTTCATTAAGACTTCTCCAAATGGGAAGCAACTTGAAATCATAGGACTTCCCTTGCCTCTGGTAGGTGAATGTTTCTTAGCCCCCAGTCATTTCTCAATGACTACATAATTAAAGCCTTGGACTAGTCATGAAATTGTTCCCTTGGCAATTATACAGAAAGATGTCTTTATGTTAACTTATCCAACTGGACAGACTACATTTAATTACCTGGACAGACTACACTTAATTCTCCAAGATTATCTAAAGTCTACCTCAAATGCCTGCTTCTCTGAGTCCTTCATTCAGAATGGAGCATCCCTCTCTCCTCCCAGAACACTATTCCTAACTATGATATGGCACTTCCCAGATAGGTTGACATAAAACCTGGTCGTCTGTGTAATCTTGCCTTTATGGATAATATTTGTAGCTAATATTTACTGAGGGTCATCTTATCTGCCAGAATGCCTCCTAAATGCTTTAAAAGAATTACCTCACTTGTTCATCAAACCACTCTTTGAGGAGGTACTATTACCAATCCTCATTTTAGAGATAAGGAAACTAAGGTCAAGGACAGTTAAATAATAAGTTTAAAGTTAAACAACTAGTTGGGATAGGGTCCACCTGAACCCAAGTCCATGCCATAACTACTGCTCTAAATTCCCTGTTGGCACCTCTTATCCATCTTGGCCACCCCACCGTGCGCAGTTGAGTGCTTGAAGTGGGAGGTATGCGGTCAGTGCTGATTGGTACTGCAAGGAGCAGAAATGCCAGAGAGTGTGAGCACCTTTGCTGTGACTGCCTGGTATATGACTTCCCTGCTATGAAGAGGAAGAGAGTGCTAGAGCATATGTCAATCTCTCTACAAAAATGTCTTGACTAGTAGTAGTTTTATAACAATGAAAGAGAGATATGAATGAATATCAATTTATTTTTCTAAGATTTTTTTATTTATTTATTCATGAGACACAGAGAGATAAAGAGGCAGAGACACAGGCAGAGGGAGAAGCAGGCTCCATATAGGGAGCTGGACGCGAGACTCAATCCCGGGTCTCCAGGATCATGCCCTGGGCTGAAGGCGGGCACTAAACCGCTGAGCCACCCGGGATTCCCTGAATATCAGTTTAACTCAAGGCTGAAACTCAAGCCTAAAACTATCTAAGCAAATTTAATTGCTAAAAGTAATGATCATTAAACTGTCCCGGGTAGAGATTCAAACCCAGGTCTCCTGTGTAAAAGAGGAAGAGAAGGAAGGAAAAGGAGAAGAAGAAAAAGAAAAGTTTTACTGTGTCGTTTTGACTTCTGCATTTCTTGACTCAACTCCAGTCTAGAAAGCAGTCCCTGTATAGAAAACAGAAAACCAAAGATGGTGTGCAAGCAAAGTTCCAAACGAACTACATGAACAAAAACTCCCTCTGTAGTTGTGTGGAGAGAGAGTTAAACAAAAGTGAAGCAGACATGTAGAGAGTGAAGGAGAACACTTGGGCTGCTTCCATAGTTTGGCTATTGTCAATAATGCTGCTATAAACATAGGGGTGCATTACTCCTTTGAATTAGTGGTTTTTTATTTGGGGACGTAAATACCTGGAAGCACAATTATTGGATCACAGGGTAGTTCTATTTTTAACTTTTTGAGGTGTTAACTATAGTAGAATTAAAATTAAAAAAAAAAAAAAAAGAGTGAAGGGGAAACTCTCCCAGTCAGATAGGAGAGAGGAAGAGTAAGAGAGAGACAGGAAGACACATGGAATAATAAACAGATTGGTGTGACTGATGCAAACAACTGAGTAAGGAGGCAATAGGAATACTAAAAACACAAACATCTTTCTATCACTAAATATTGGTGATACAGAACTTCATGCACTGACCCAGAGCTGCAGTCAGATAACCACTGATAAAACTGCATTAAGAAATTAATAAGAATTAACTTGAAATTAATACTCTAGGAAGAGAAAAATTCAACCTCACCTGAGTATCTTATTTGGTCCAATACTATTTCTCTCTTTTTAAATATTTTTTTCTTTTCACATTAAAAAATTTATTTCAATAAACCAGTAATTATTCAGTTCACATCTATGAAGCACTTACTATTTTCCAGTCCTTCTGCAAAATGCTGCCTTTACCAATGTGCCTCATTACATGGCCTTCTTCCCTGTGTGTGCTCCTCTGTATATACTCTCCTTTTCTTATAAGAACACCAGTTACATTGGATTTAGGGCCCATGCTAATCCAGTATGACCTCATTTTACCTTAACATAATGAATTACATCATCAAAGACCCAATTTCCAAATAAAACCATAGTCTAAAACTGCAGGTGAACATGAATTTGGGGGGGTACACGATTCAACCTGGTATAGTTCTCCCAAAATTCATATCAATTCTCCATCCCATGTGCAAAACACAGTTACCTCATCCCAATATCCCCCCAAAAGCTTGACCTATTCCAGCATTAACTCTAAATTCTAAATCTCATCTAAATATCTTCAACTCAAAAACTCCAAATCTTATCATTTTAATTGGTTATGGGTCAGACTGTAGGTATGATCCATCCTGGGGCAAAATTTCTCCCTACTTGTGGACCTAACCACCCAGAAAATGAGTTATCTGCTTCCCAAGTACAATGGTAGGACAGGTATAGGATAGACAATCCCATTCCAAAAGGAAGAAATAGGGATCCCTGGGTGGCGCAGCGGTTTGGCGCCTCCTTTGGCCCAGGGCACGATCCTAGAGACCCGGGGTCGAATCCCACATCGGGCTCCCAGTGCATGGAGCCTGCTTCTCCCTCTGCCTGTGTCTCTGCCTCTCTCTCTCAATCTGTGACTGTCATAAATAAATAAAAATTAAAAAAAAAAAAAAACCAAAAGGAAGAAATAAAGGAGTCTCTGGTCTAAAGAAAGTTATCAACCCAGTGAGGCAAGTTCCATTAGGTTTCAAGGCCTAAGAATAATTTTTGATGGGTCCATGGAGGCTCAACTCTCTGGGCCTGTCACTCTGGACTCTGCATCCACAGGCCTACCCTTAGGGTCATTTTTCTTTTATCTTAAAGGGTAGCACATGTATTTAGCTGAATAGTTCTGTCAGCCTTTTTCCTGTCTGTAGACCCCCAGAAATCTGGCAGCCTTCCTTCATCCTGTCTCTGGTTCCTTCGGTTCAAGCTGATAGCATTTCTGCGGATAAATGTTTTCAAAAACCTTGTTTGTCTTTTGTGTATGTCAGGGGATCC